CTACAGAATCCAAGTTACTAGAGCTCCACAGAAAAGTTTGAAAACCCCTGCAATAAACCATGATGTACTAGATTTTTTTTTTTACATCTGAATTCAGCTTCTGTTTCTTGTTACTGTGACACACAAATGGCTCTTTTAGGCTGTTACTATGCTAAAAGTCAATTTTCAAAACCTACTGTTTCACTGCCAAAGTATTACTGTATGAAAAGAATGCACAAAAAGTTGCAGATAATATTAACTCTGTGTATCTGCTTCTTTGGATACCAGGCCATAATGCCAAACACAAGTATAACTGTAAAATAATAAAAAATATTTTGAACCGCTGAGTCCTGAATAGTATTTGAGAATTATACTATGACTATGAATTTTAATTGCTACCAGAAAATTATTTTTGCACTATGTTATTTTCTATATTATGTACTATATGCTATTATAAATTATTTTTATATTAACTAAACAGTTTAGAAATCAGTATGAATTTTCTCGATATTTTAATTTCTATCCTATCTTGGATATGTTTTTCAACACAATACAATTTCTGCAGTTAAAATTAATACACATAACAAGAGAAATCTGAAAATATTTTTCATTTTGTTACAGTTAAATTTATTACAGTGCCCAAACATGTAAGACTTTAATTCTGGGTCAAATAATGATACATTTTAACAATATTGCCTGAGAATTTGTGATAATTCCTTATTATACATTATTTCAAATTAGCAATCCTATGACAAAACCAGCCAAAGTAATTGATTGGCTCTACATATGACAACTTCATGAAATTTCTAGGCTATTATATGGAAGTACTTGAAAATCTGATTTATTTGAGGGCTTGGCTTCAATGCAGAATTTACATTACATACTTTCTGCCAAAGCTGGATAACCAAATAGTCCATTCATAATAATGGTTAAAGCTGTTGTGGAGCCTGAGGAATATATTTAAGGCTAATGTTTTTGTGTCTGAATTAAGCTCTTCAGTGGAACCATAAGGCAATTGATAACAGTTGGCTCTAGCTATATAAAGCAGTATAAAAAAGTTTAGTTCCATTTTCACCATAACTACAAAATAGTAACATTTTATTTTAATTAAGTTATAAGCAGGTTTAATTAATGATTACTAGCTTTACTTTTTCTTTTCAAAAATTATGCTGCTTTTGGTTTTAAGAAAGAGGAAAAAAAAATAGTGGCCCATAAGCTGATATTTTTCCTACAAAGGTTGACTTTCAGAGTAGGCCTCAAAATACTGGGGTGTGGATGCAGCTTTCATCTACTCAGTGTTCCTGGATCTCTCAGCAGTTTTCAGTACTGAATATTGTTGACTTGTTCTAGTCCAGCTGCAGAAGTTAGCAATGGGAGGCACAATGCTCCACTGATTTACCTCCTTCCTTAGCAGTCATTTCCAGCTGGTGTTTGTGGGGAGGGGGGGAGAGATTATGTTCATGGCGCCCTTGGTGTAGGGTATGTCAGGACTTGATTCTCTACTCTCTCCTGTTCAACATCTGCATGAAACCATTGGGTGAGTTCATCTGCTAGTTCAAGCTGATCATTCCTATGCTGATGAAACCCAACATTACATCTTTATCCTGAACAGCACAGTTGAAGCTATTGACCTAGAGCTTGGACGCTGTTCAAGTCTGGACAGGACAGACTTTGGCTCAATCCTACAAAACTGTTTGGATCCTCTAGGTTGTGGAGGTTAAGACTGGTGTGCAACTTGGGGGTCCTTCTGACAGTTATAGCATAGTGATCAGGAGGCATTGGTTCATTTTGTGCACCAGTTGCATCCTTGCCTCAATCATGAAGCCTTTCCGACAGTGACTCATGCCTTGATCATCTCTTAATTGGATTACAATGCTCTCTACAAGGGGCTGCCCTTGAAGATTAATCCTAGAGACTACACCACGCAGCAGCACAAGCAGCATAAGTAAGTACATAAGAAAGCAGTTTTCTGTCTCCTTTAGTTACCAATAAAATTATTACTAATTTATTTTCCAATAAAATCTAACAAAATCATTGCAGGAATTCTAAAATAATTTAGTGAATTATACTCTAAACCAGGGGTCTCCAACCTTGGCAACTTTAAACCTGGTGGACTTCAACTCCCAGAATTCCCCAGCCAGCAAAGCTAAGCCTAGCGGACTTCAAAGCTGGCTGGGGAATTCTGGGAGTTGAAGTCCGCCACGTTTAAAGTTGTCAAGATTGGAGACCCCTGCTCTAAGCTATACCCTGCCTAAATCAATGTTTTAAAAACATTTTTTCTCCCCACTTTAAGAATTGTGGTGGGTTCTAAAAACACTTTGTTTATATGGGTTATATTTATCTATATTTACTGTATTAAAAATGAACACTGATACATTTGCTGCTACTACCGCTTTTCACAACTGTTTGATGGAATTTTTACTACATCATTTTTCAACATAGTTGTTGATCTTACAGACCCTTAAGGTGGTCTTGAGGATCCAAGGGGTTGTCAGACTGCACTTTGAGAAATGCCGCCCCCAATCGCTATAATTTCATATAATTAATTATAAAATAATTAGTAAAGTTTCATGACACATGAAATAGAGTACTATGGAGTAATTAATGATAGAATCCATGCAAAGATATTTCTAGGAATATTTTAAATCAATGACGCTTTGATACTGAATTGTCCACTTCCAGAAGCATTTGATACTTTTGTCAACACAATGAATGCAGCATCATGTGATTGGAATGCAAGCGCTCCTCTTTCATATATGTACCTGTACAAAAGAAATGGGGCTTGCAACATCACAGTATATTACTTTCATTCCTCCTCACCTTCTCTCTCTGTTGTTCGTGTGTAAATTTTTATTTAAAGTCTAGAAGATAGTCTATTTCTAAAATATATTTTCTTCATGAATTTAATCAAAAGCAGATCGTGCTTAAGTCTGCAAATGGCTTGTAAATGAAGATTCCATTATTGAGGCCAAAAGTATCTTAAAAGGTTAAACCATGGCAACTGGACCAAAGTTTATTAAAATTTTCCATTTGGGGGAGAAACTCCTTGCAGTCTGTTCTTTCCAATGACTGACTCTCTGCCTACCCAAATTTTCATTCTGATTAAAGAAGCTACTTGCATGAGCAATGAAACACCTCAGTTTTTAATAAACTTTTGTCCAGTTGTCATGATTTAATCTTTTAAGATAGATTTGCAAATGGCAGTAACTTATGCAATCTCACTTGCTCTATCAATTTATTCTCCAGTATGCTAGACTGAAGTGATAGAATGTTTTCTTTATGAAAAAGCCGTAACACTTCTTTTTGGAGGATTAGGACAATCATGAATAACTGTGTTTTTAATATGGATTTATGTGTGGCAAGAATGTAAACATTTTAAATGCCCACACACCTATCTAGTTGAATGCGCACAGACTGGTTTGGATGCAACCCTGAAATACTATGCATGTTGGGACTCATCTTCTCTCTCCATGGTACCTTACACATAGAGAAAAACACCCAATACATCTTCAATATAAAACTGCATCTTTGCACACCAACAAACAAGCACTCCTATAGAAATAACTCCTCTCTCTCACTAGAAATACTTATGCATGCCCTACATGAAAGGAACGCAGGAAACCAATTCATAATGCAATCACAACAGGATGTGGTAACAGAGTACAGAGACAGCAAACTAAAATGGATATACCAAACTAGGTAACATTTTAATATTCTTGACTAGACAGATTCTAAATTATATTCCGAATACAGATATTCACCACAATTGCAAAGATTCTAAATAATCTCCGGAGGCACAAAAATATTAACCACCTTGTACCCAAAGAGCAACGCATCTTAAATAATAAGTATCTCAAGGTTAACTCAGCCTTCCATTCTTCCAACATCGGCAAATAGAATAGAACATAATATAATAGAATTATTTATTGGCCATGTGTGATTGGACATACAAGGAATTTATCTCCGGTGCATAAAAAGCTCTCAGTGTACATAAAAGCAATAAGTGATAAATCATGATCGCAGTCATCATAAAATACATTCATAATAAACAATAAGATATAAACACTATTTATAAAATAAAATGAGCGGGTGGCAATAGGCTGACTCTGTATACCGCTTAGAGCGGGGCTGTAAAGCACTGTGAAGCAGAATATAAGTCTAAGCGCTATCTCTGCCCTGAAGCAGCCCAAACAGTCAACTTTTTACCAGCCACGGAGGAGGAAGGAAGTCCCTACGGCATCTGAAAGATGTGAAATGCATTGGGGGGGGGGGGGGCTGCTTTTGAAGGGATGAAAGGATAGCTATTTTAACTCAGCCCCGGTAAAGAGCAGCACCCCTGCCTCCTCCGCCAAGAACAAAAAGAAGGAGCCTTTCGCCCGCGATTGCAGACCCTCACTCAGAGCCATCTGCAAGCCCATCCACCCCGATTCTCCGGCCAACCTAACCCTCCCGCTTCTCACGTTCATCTGCACCCCCGCACCCCAGGCCAGAATTAAAAAGCTCAACTTCAGAAGACTAACTACGCCTCGCTACTTCGAAGATCCGGCGGTGACAGGGAAAGGCAACGCAAGGCCAAGCCGGGGTGACAGCGTCGACGTTGCTCAGCCCGGGGCCTTCCGTCACTCACCCAAGTGAGCAAGCTCTCCCCGAGCTCGGCCCGCTCCAGGCTCTCGACGTTGAACATGGCTCAAGGCGGGCGGGCTTTCCCCTTCCAAAGCGGCGGGCAGCCGAGGTGTTGAACAGGCGCCTTCCGGTGACACTCCGCCTTTCTCGCCGTCGCCCTTTCTTCTCTCTCTCTCTCTCTCTCTCTCTCTCCCCACCACCACCACCCGACACGCCAAACCCAGGCCGGCAAAGAGCCGCGCCGGGCCGGGCAGCTGGAACGCAAGACACGTCACCGGGTCCCGTCAGGATCCGCCCGCTCCGTCGGCCCCGGCCTTCAACACGCATGCGCGCGCCTTTAAAAAAAAAAAAAAGAAAGAAAAAAGCGCTAGCTCGGCTCAGTCACGCCGAGGGCCAAGGGGGCGGAGCAAAGCCGGGGTTGGCTGAAGCGTGTCGCTGTCTCTGCTAGTGGGCTGACAGGCCTGGTGGGCGCCCGTCGGGGACTGAGGTACTGAGGCATGAGGGGGCCGGGCGCCCGATATCGCGGGCTGACCCACCGCGGGCAGCCGCCCTCGCCGCGGTTTCCCCACAGCGTATTGAAATTCGGCTTTCCCTTCCCGCTTTGGCCAAGGCGGGTTTTCCCCTCCGTTCTCCTCCTGCAGAACCGCTTGCGAAGTCCCGCCCGCTTGCAAGACATGACCGAGTTGCGAAAATGGTTTTCTTTTCTTAAGGGAGAGGGGAGCCCGCGGTATCGGCGGGGGAGAGGACGGTCGCCTTAGGAGTCTCATTCAGTCCCCTCCTTTGTGTGTGTGTGTGTGTGTGCAAAGAGTTAATTCCGTAATAACTTCCAAGCCCAGGAAGAACAGGAGTCTTGATATCGGCCGCGCTTTGCAGGATGGAAGCCCGTTTTTAAACTTTAATGGTAGAATCTAAACTATCTGGAGGGTTGTAACAATGGCTGAGGATGACCCAAAGGTGCTTTTTTTTTTTTTCCTAACAGGCAACTGGACTTTCTGGTTTTTCTTTGAAGATGTAAAGAAGCTTTTTGGATGAAAAGAGAAACGTCTTCAAAGAAAAAACCCCCAAAAAGTCCAGTTGCCTCTTGAAAAAAGCACCTTGGGAAGAGCCATGACCTGGATGACTTGAGAATCTCCATAGACAATGGCTGAGGATGGGAAAAGGCTCCTTGGGTTAAGTTTTGGGGAGAACTCCGAATTGAAAGGGGAAGAGGGTCTGTGCATGTTTGTTAGGTGTGTACATAACCAGGCTGCACGGTCACAAGTAGTAACAGACTAAACCAGAAAAGTGAGTTAACTCCATACGCTGTGATTAACTTAAATCAGAAATAAGTATATCGGGTGAACGCAGTGGTATATTCTTTAATGCAACTCAGCTGCTTCAAAGTTTGTCTGGAAATGCTGGAGTTTGAGCCCTGGGGACTTCCGCATGCAAGCGTGCGTAATGATAACTAAGATGTGTGCCCTGCTATATCTCAGGGACGGTTGACTTTCATTAACATATATAAATATATTTTTCTACGCTTTCTTATGCTAATCCAGTGTTTTCACTTTCAACTGCCAGAATTCTGCTGGCTGGGGAATTCTGGCAGTTGAATTCCAGACAGCTTACAGTTTTCTATAAAATTGAGAAACATTCTGCTAATTTCTAAAGCATTAACGATGTAATAGATTGTAGCTGCTTCACCTAGGCAAAAGGCCAACTTAGTGAAAGAAATTGCAGTAGAAAAAAAATATCAAGTTGCAGTCAGTGAAGAGCGATCCTGCAAAGTTGATAGTCAGTGATGGTTGATAGTGAAGAAAGAAAATTAGTTGGATTTTTTTCATTTTTTTCTAGAGAAGTGAGGGTGGAACTTATTGTGTTAACAGATTCACAACATCAAGATACCCAAGTGTTGTTACCTTGTGTTTTGTTTTTGAAGTCAAAGTGATGTATGTTAGAGTGAGAAAATTTTGTAGACACTATAATGGAAGCTCTTCAGTTAGCTGGAATAGATCTGGAATGGTAGGATGGCTCCAGGTTTGTTGGTGTCTTTCTTAGGTTTGAGTTATTGACAGGTTTAATCCTCAACTACAAAAATTGCAATTGCATTTTATGAAGTTTAATATATCAAAGTAAACTCTACACAAGTAAACTTATTTCATAATTTCCATCAGGTTATCACAAAATTCTTTGGAATTTTGGCATTGCTACGATAGTACTCACACTTGTCTATGGCAGTTTTCCTTTCAAACTGGCTTATTTATAGTTTACTCAGCGTGAATGGCATGAATTTTAAGTATCAAGCACCAACGTTGAAGAATAAAATAGATTATAGAATATTATACTTAAACTATTCTAGGGAGGTTTTAAGTTTATTTAAAGGGAAATAATCTTTTTTTTAAATCTTACCCATAACGGCCACCTGTGATAAATGGCAACAAAACATAGTTGTTTTTCTACCCATATTGCATCTTCAGATTGTTGGCTGGTGACTCCGTTCAAAATGATTTGGTCAGTCCTTGGAAGAATAGAGCCAGATATACACCAGCAGTTCCTACAAAGTTGATAGAAGGACACTCTGGCTCTATTATCTGGAATAAATGTGATTTTTGTTTAGTTCTGAGGAAGTGGTCAGGGTTCTCAGCTCCTGTATATTAGCTCCATATACCTCCTGGTTTAATCCTCCTAGATAATGATGTGTAACTGAGTCTAGGCAATGACGCATTTATCCTTGAGAGGTGTGGTAGTTTCCTTTCTCAAGAAGCCGTCAATGGATCAAGTGTGTTGGACAATTTTTACTATATCTCCAGCTTTTTAGAAAAGATAGTTAAGGTAGTTACGCTGCAGCTTCAGAAGGTCCTAAATTATCTGGACTCTTTCCATTCAGGTAGATTATCTAGACTCTTTCCATCCAGGTTTCAGGTCCAGGTATGGGAACAACAGAGCAGGATCATGATGACTTCTTGTGGGAATGAGATGGAAGCGATATCGCTGTGGTCCTCTGTTTAATTTTATTTAGCTCTCAGCCTTACTTCCGGTAAGACCTTGGTTTGAATTCATCTGATAACTACATGGAGATAGCAAAATAATTTTCTTAGCAACCTTATGGACATGGTTCATTATTTAGGTGTTCTGGATTTTTTTTTAATTTCCTGGTTCAGTAACAAGAAAGATAGGACAGATGCCTTAAGGTAGAATTTGAATGTACTGCTAGAATACTAACCTTTTAGTTATATTTATGTGTTGACAGATTTGCGATCCTCTTTTAGAGAATCTATAAAATAATTTCTATTCTACTAGTACCTATAGTTCCACTGTAAGCCATGAAGTATGGAGCAAAACACCCAGTGTCTCATATACTAGCTTGATACCCGTGTTTCGCTACAAAACTATGGGATCGGGCTTAGTTTGTGGGGAGAAAAATAAGGAGAAAAAAATTCTGGCTCTGCCTGCCAACATCCATCAGTTTTCATCTGGCTAGCATCCTGTCAGTGTTTGAGAGAGTTGAGGGTTGTTTGGAAACTGAAACAGTATTTGCTATGTGAGCAAGAAGGAGACAGCAAGGAGCCTGGGTGTGGCTTAGCTCAACTGTTCTGTACTAAAGCTGCTTGCTGCTGTGAAACTGAAACTCCTCTCCTCTGCTTGTGTTTTGCATTTGGAACAGATTTGTTTTCAGGTGGGGAGGGGGAGTAGAACTCCTTAGCATCATAGCGTATGTTAATAATAATAATGATAATAAATGAATTTTGGACTCAATTATGGTCATAAGTTGAGGATTACCTGTAATATATCTTATTAATATCTATGAGGACTGCAGGAGTTTATATGGTTTAGAAAGCCTCTTTTCAGATGCATGGAGAGATCTAATCATCTATCAAAATGTATTTCTTCCCCCATTTCTGATCTATATTAGAGAAGTTATCATTTCTGCTAGTATGTGACACTTCATGGGAGCAGAAGCAAAATCAAAGGAATGCACCAATCACATTCCTCAACTCATCCCTCTCATTAAAACTGTAATGAGAGCACAACTTGCTGTGCTTGTTGCTGAGGCAAAATAAGGCTTGTCAGTCAGGGGAGCAAATTTTATGCAGGCATATTTATTATATCTACAAGTTCAGGGATTCAAGGACTGCTCGTTAGTTCAACTCTGTTTCAAAATATATTGGACGTAGGTGAAGGATTTGAATGGGAGCAGGCTGTATGGGTATTATATTGTTGTAATCATGGCTTTACAGCATGAGCTAAATGGAAACAGGAATTCAACTACATATGTTAAAATTCTTAATTATTTCCCAAATTAATGAAACTTAATTTTAATACTTTTACTACAGGTAGTCCTCGACTTACAACAGTTTATTTAGTGACTTTGAACAAAGTTACAGTGGCATTGAAAAATATGACTTATGACCATTTTTCACAGTTACAACCTTTTAGTATCCCCAGATCATGTGATCAAAGTTCAGATGCTTGGCAACTGGTTCATATTTATGACTATTGCTATGTCCTAAGGTCATGTGATTACCTTTTGCAACCTTCTGACAAGCAAAGTCAATGGAGGAGCCTGATTCACTTAATAACTGGCTTATTGACTTATCAGCTGCAGGGATTCATTTAACAACCGTGGCAAGAAAGGTCGTAAAATGGGACCAAACTCACTTAACAGATATCTCACTTAACAACACAAATTTTGGGTCAACACAATGTCAGGTTTCCAAGTGATGAAATCCATTTAAAAAGAAAAGAACAAAGTACATCTTCCAAGACAATTTCTTTTATTTAGGAAAATATCAAATTGGCAAAGTCCGTGGTAATTCCGGATCTGACACAACCCGGAATTACCCCACAATATTAGAAGTTAAAAACAACCCCCAAAATTCACATTCTTCAATAAAAGTAATTCAACATTGCTTGATGTCATAAATCTCCACCTCAAGGGGCCTAAGCACGGAAAGCTCGTTTTCCCAGGGGAAGAAGAATCACCTAGCCTAAACAACTCATAGCTCCACTCCTCCCCCTTAGGAATGTAGCAAGCCTAAAACCCTTCCCCCATGACTGCCACAGAAAAAGTGAGAAAAAGAATATATACTAAGCCTAACTAAAATGGCTACACATATGTCAGTTTCTGGCTTGACACACAATTGTAGTCGTAAGTCAAGGACTACCTGTATTTCATTCCTGTCTTATTTGTGAATAGATGTGATTTACAATTTCTTCTCATGATATTTTTACACCTTCATGTTTTATTCCAAGTGAGGATATATTTCTTTATATCTCTGTTTCTGGACATGAAATAATTTAGAACAAATGCTATTCTTAAATAAGTTAAGAAATAGCCTGAAAATATCTCTTTTTCCAAGGCAGAATTCAGAGGTTTCAAGCTCCAGCATCTGAAACATTTCCTGTGATTCTGAAGATGACACAGTGATGAGTCTTCTCATTTCCAGCTGAGGTAAAAGAGTGAGCATTGATCTAAAAATACCAGTATCATTGTATTAAAGCAAGGATTTCCCTTTTTGGCATTTGCACAGGGGCTTTCTGAGAAGTTACACATTAATCTCTGCATGAATTGGCTTTTTATCTAAATGCTATTTTGCCTTTTCTTTAATCTTAAAGTCTCAGTGCTATCAGTTTTACAGTTGCACATATTCTAGAGATTAGAGAAAGACAGATTGAAGCAGAGATCACCAACTTTTTGGACCTCAGGGACCACCAAACTCATAATTTTAAATCCCAGGGATCACTAACCAGTTCTGTGGGCGTGGCCAATTTGTGGGTGTGGCCTGGTGGTCATGTGACTGGCTGGGCATGGCTTGTATGTAAATATTATAAATATCCAAATATTGAATTTTTTATAAAAAAGGGCAACTTTTACCCAAAATCAGGCAAAGCAGGCAGGCAGATTGAGTTGCTTACAGAATCACAGATTTATTCAGAGATCTATCTATCTGCCATTGGCTAGTCGTTTGTCACATAAAATTTGTTTGCCATGAGTCTGCACTGAATAATAGAACCTTCAGTCCTAAGGGAGGTTCGGCTGTGCTTAAAAGCAGAGCTGAAGACCTAAAAACTAGCTAGAAAGCAAGAAATCCAACCATTTCCTGCTTCCTAGCTAATCTAAATCACCCAGTACAGTAGAACAGCTGATGGTCGGGGAAAAAAGGGAAAAATAGCAACTTAGCAGGCAAGTTTGCCGGGAAAGGAGTGAGTGGACGGGGAGGGTTCCCACAGGCCATGTGGGTGGCGCAGTCTTGTGTTTCTGTGCAGCCTGGATTAATTGCTTTGGGGGGTGGTCTGGGGGTGACATTTCTCTGCGGCCCACCAAAATTTTCTTGCAGCCCACCAATGAGCCAGGGCCCACCGGTTGCCGACCGCTGGATTGAAGCATGGCGGAAGAATGCAGAAATAGAGAGCAATAATAGTTTGGACTAGACTTAATAGTTGATTCTTCTGTTGTTTTTAATTACAGCTTTTTATTGTATCATTCTACTGAATTTTTATTGAAAAATTAATTTCTAGAAATTGATATTTCAATCTGTATAAAATATAATCCATCAAAATCTAAGCACAAATTTATCTTTATATTTATTCTGGGGGAAAATACACAATCTATCTATAATACATACATACATGCATAGACAGACAGTCAGTCAGACAGACAGACATATTACTGCTATTTATCCCTATTTAAGTATACTGCATCTTTTCTCGCTGCCTGGTTTTAGGTTATTCAGTTATTTAATTATTATTTTCTGGAAGTGCCTTTAGTCATTAGAATCTAAACACCTTTACAAATAAAAATATCACCAGTGCAATAATAAATTCAAAATTTATAAGAAAAAAAAATCATTAACTCATCTAACGTTCTGAAAAACATAAAATAAATTATCTGCTAGCAAGCCATTATATTTCATAATGTCACAATAATAGTGCTATCATTAATGCTATGTGCACTTCCTCATCAAACTGAAAACCAGAATGTTCTTTGAAAGAAATCTCAGATTATTGCTATACCTCAATATTCCTAGTTTTAAAATACAAATCTTGGAGCAGAATCAGTTTTCAATATATGTTAATATATATTTGTCTTATTATGCATCAGTGACTTTCCTTTTCTACTTTCTGGAACCGTTTTCATTCAAGGACATTTTATTCCCACTGCATTTAGTCTAGGAAATCAGAATATCACCCAGCATTACCCTGTTTTAACTATGTGGAGAAGGATATTCTGCTAGGGAGTTCCTGGAATTAATCTCAGCCATTTGAAAATCAAGCAACAAGCTAAAATGTGAAAGTTGATTTGTTTTTGTTCATTAGTTTGCAAAAAAGAATATAATATGAGCTGTGGTGGCTCAGTGATTAGATTGTAGTACTGCAGGCTATTTCTGCTGACTGCCAACTGCCAGCAATTTGACAGTTCAAATCTCACCAGGCTCAAGATTGATTCAGCCTTCCATCCTTTGGTAAAATGAAGACTCAGATTGTTGGGGACAATATGCTGACTCCGTAAACCACTTAGAGAGGACTGTAAAGCGGTATATAAGTCTAAGTGTTTGCTATAATAATAATTGTTTCAATGAATAAATGCATATTTATATGTTTCCTAAGTTTTAGGTCTGGAATGGCCAGCCAGGAAACTGAAGTTCAAAGACTGGCACTAGATAACGATTCAATGATAGAAGGGATAAGTGACCAGGTTCTGCTGGCGATAGTGCTTAGCATCACATTCCTGGTTGCACTGACATACATGCTATTAAGGTAAGGTGAAGTAAAATGTTGGTAGCACTAGAAGGTTGTTGATGTATGTCAGTTGTATTTATTTCTTGTAAATTAAGTTATTTGGAATAATAGTTTAATTACTTGGTAACACGTTCTGACAGCAACATCCAGAAGAGAGCTGCTGATCCATGCTTGGAATTTGGGGAGATTTGGTTCAAACAAGCTGTAATGCTCATTGACGTTAGACTGCTTTCTTTTCATCATAGTTACCATAAGAGGATAATTAAAATAAATTTTGATTAACCTCCCAGCCCCACATGCAGATGCTAATCATCATGCAATGTAATTAAAAGAAATTGGAAAGAAAGTAGAGAAAGTATTACTATAATGTAAAGCTTAAACAGATCGGATTTGAATCACATAGTTACTATGCTGACTAATTCTTAAATTAACCAATTAAGACTATTGAATAGAGTCATGATGGCTCTTTTCACGTGTGGGATTTGTTTACTTGTTTTATTGTAGATGTTGTGGTTTTTAAAGTCGGATCTGCATGTTTACTTCCAAATATTTATATGATCAACAATAAAATACAATGAAAAGCAGAAATCAACACCTATTTTTTCTTTTCTCCCTTGTTTTATACATTTCTCCTTTCCCTCCCTTATTTTTCCTAATATTTGCTTTCATATTTTTGTATTTCATATTATAAACTAATTTGTATTTCATATTATGAACTAATTGGAAAAATGAAAAAAAAATAATATACAATGAAAAGCATGTTCAGCCAAGGATTTCATTATGCAAAGGAAAAATGTCACTTTTAGCTTAAGTACAATAGTTATTAAACCTTTAATGTTTTAGTATATTTATTTTACACCTTGATTAATATTATCTTTGGAGATTCTATACTTCAAGTAAAGTAGCAGCTCTTAAAATAACAACATGCAAAGATTAGAAACCCTTAGAATTCTAAACATGATTAATTTACATTGTTCTGTCTGATTCCAATTTTGAAATGTTTTATTAATAGTATGTCTTCTCTTAACAGAGATGGGCAGTCAGATATTCATCCAGAAAACCAAGAGCTAGTGAGAGCAATTAGACAACAAATACAATCGGAACAGGTATATTTACAATTACGCACAATTCTTTTTGATATAAATCAATTATATCCTGGAAAATTTCTCAGGGAATCACCAAATGTAGAAATGTTTGAGTTTGATAGTTTGGATACCCTAGTTCTTTGTGCTAAAAATAAACTTATGTCATTTCAAAATTAAACGTTGATATGGATTTGCAGGAATATATATTAAAAATGTTTATTAAAGAAGCAAAGCTTTAGGGACTCCATAGGGTCCTAAAACTTTAAGCATAATTTTAAAGCTTGGATCTTTTATGTTATAATACTATGCTGCAGCTATTCTAAGTTGAACCAGATAAGAATTATGAATAAACTCTGTTATCTCCCTCTTAATCATGGTCATCAAAGGGCAACCCAAAAAGAAGGTCTAAGTTGTTTCAAAATGAGATTTCATCTTATCCAAGTATTTGTAGGGAATGAGGTATGATGTATCTGTGTTGTACTATTGTATTATTGCTTCCTTCCCTTATCACTTATCAAAGGAAACACACCAGTCTGAGATTTCTTTCTTGTAACTATGCCAATCTAACTATTTTGCAGCTTGTTACAAATAAAATCATTTGTTCTGCTTGAATTAACTATATTTCTCTCCCCCCCCGCCCCCCCAGGAAAATAGTGTTGGTGACAGGCAACATTTCTACACTGATTTGTCCTGCCCGGTGTGTTTGCAACAGGCTACATTTCCCATTGAAACAAATTGTGGACATCTTTTCTGTGGTATGCAAAAATAAAAATAAAATTTGAATAATTTCTTCCATTCCTTGAAATGGTAAGAGTTGCTGAGGAAATATTTTTGGAACTGGATTGGCTTTAAAGAAGTGAAGAAATTCTATTTTAATTATTTCTTCTTTGCAGTCAATCATGACTTTTAAAATGTATAAAATGGATCACTATCACATAGCAATTTTTTTATTCATTTATACATTTAAGTGCTATTAATTTGAACTAGATTTTTCAGCAACTCATATAATACAAGTGTTATGAACTGATACAGGGATTGCTAGTATTTGGGCAAAAAAAATAGATAATGCATATCTCAATGATGTTTGTAAGCAGTCCTTTCTTCTCTCCTGAGACTCAATGCCTTAAACTGGCAAGTAATTTTTAATAATTTATCAGCTTCAGTGAACAGCTGTTTGTTTTTAAGTGAGATATTAACTCAAATTCAGGTAAGTCCTCAACTTACAATCATAATTGAGCTCAAAATTTCTGTTGCTAAGCAAAACAGTTTGCCTCATTTTATGTTTCTTGCCACCGTTGTTAAGTGAATGTAACATGCTACATTAGTAACATGGTTGTTAAATGAATCTGGCTTCCCATCACCACAGGAATACTGCAACAGTTGTAAGTGTGAAAAATGGTCATAAGTCATTTTTTTCAGTGCCATTGAAACCTTGAACGGTTACTAAAGGAATGATTGTAAGTTGAGGACTACCTATATTTAAAGCTTAAGAAATTAATAGGTTATTTTCTTTAGGTTCCTGCATTATAGCGTATTGGAGGTGCGGATCATGGCTAGGTGCAATACACTGTCCTATCTGCAGACAAACGGTAATAATATGAATATTTTGATGTAAAATTCTAGCTCTGATTTTACAAATGTTGTATGCTGTATCCTAAGTATAAATGGAAATTTAGAAGGTTTAACACCTTGGCTTTTTTTTAACTGTGATTTTAAATACATTTAGTTTATTATGTCTTTGCTTTTCTTGTCTTTAGTTGGGTTGTGATATATTTAAAGAATGATGCAGTATGTAGCCAGAGTATAATAACATTTTCTTTAGAATCTAATGTAGGATTTTATATATGAATTCCATAAGATAAAAGTCAGGTACATTTTATAGAAAAATAACTAAACATTCCATAGCAACGTAAAGGTTACTTGAGATAATCATTTTCATGGATTAGAGTTAAAGCCAACCAGAACCTAGCTACATATTACTATCAAATATATCTGTAATACTCCCACAGATAAGAAATAATTTGATCTTCCTGTAAGCTTCTTTTCTGCAATTATTCAGATAAAAGTTTAGAGTGCTTAATGTTCCGGCTTTCAGAACTTTTTATTGAACACTAATTTGACAGGTGCTTCAACACAGAAAAGTTATGTAGGTTTTCAGATCCTGTTTGGATTATTCCAACTTATGTAGAGGCTTTCAAAATGGTTGAGAAACTTCAGATTAAAAACAAGGCAACCAGAATAACATATAGGTCTAACAAGCAGGGCTATAATATGTCAGTATTTTACCATTTGCACTGTTGCCAATCCTTTTTGGGAGTGGTGCAGTGGCCTAGAGGTAGCCTCACCTCACAATCGGGAGGCTATGAGTTTGATCCTACGTAGAGGCAGATATTTCCCTCTCTGGGCACAATGAGAATATATCTGCTGAACAAAACTCTGCATTGGCAACATGAAGGACATCCGGCCATTAAACACTGTGCTAGCCCCATTCAGTTGCCCAGACTCCACCCCACAAGGGATTACGGGGTCGTTAAAAGGTTATGATGATGACTGTTGCCAGTCCTTTTTCTATTCATTTTTGCTTTTTAATGTCTTGAGTAGCTTGGGTCACCTTTCATATTTACTTAGACAGTAAGCTTATCACCTGAGCACTTTTTCTCTAGTTATCCACCAGGCTTACTTGGTATCTGTATTTTGGTCTCTTGGTTTCTAGACATTCTTATTTCTCTTCTCCAGACCTTTGGCAATTATGTACATTAAATGCATTCCTCTTTATGTTTTATGTTGTTCTGCTTTTATACATATTTATTTTCTTATACTTTCTTAATCTATTTCTATTCCCTTCTGAACATCACAGTTGTTAAATAGTTTTAAAGTATAATAAATAACCATCTGAATTTCTATGATCCTAGTAATATGCTTAGTACCAATAGATTGTAAGAAAGACCTCGCAGGAATACCTCTCTACATTCTTCCCAAAACTTTTTGCTTGACAAATTACTCTTAAGTAAGCCATGCTTGATTTTATGACCTTTTTTGTCATGGTACCATAGTCAAAGTAATCCCTGCAATTTCTAAGAAAATGTTGATTCCCTCATTGACTTTGCTTGCTGAAAGCAATCTGGGAAGATCACAAATAATGATTGCATGACCCCGGAATGCTGCATCCATTGTAAATACATGCCAGTTGTCAGGTGCTCGAATTTTTATCAGGTGGCCATGGCGGGGAGGGTTTGTGATGATTATACTTTAAGTGCTTGTAACTGCTTTTTTCAGTGCCAACTTCACACAGTGGCTAAATGAACAGTTGTAAGATGAGGGGTACCCATATACACTTTTAAATATATATACTGTGTAAGAAAAGGAAGGTGGAGTCTGTATGAAGATATTGAATACCTGTTGTCGTTTTTATTCAGGTAACTTTATTTTTACCACTCTTTGATGAGGGACAAGAGGATGCAGCACAAGTACTTCATGATGTTAATGATTATAATAGGAGGTTCTCGGGACAGCCAAGATCGGTATGTATGGGGCTAGAGCAATTAAAATATCTGCCCAATGTTCTATTTATTATGACAAACGCTGCATTTCTCTATGTGAGTTGGACAAGTCACCAGCTCTGGAAATGAAGCTGGGGTAGCAAGAACAAGTGGAGGGATCATTTCAATATTTTTCTTAACAACAGCCGTTCTTAAGCTATTGGATGGAAATAGATGGGAATTGTGCCCATGTTTGTCAGTTCCCATCTCCTTCTCTGGTTCACATTGCATAGTACAGCATTGCGGAAAGAGAAGTCTTCATCTTGATTCAGACTCTCATGTCATTCAGAAGAGGGACTTAAAAACTGTAGATAGATTTATGAAATGATAAGATAAAGCATTGCCATTAGTAGTAAAATTCAAAGTGTGTTTAGGATAAAAATATGAATTTGCTAAATAAAAAAATACAAACTTCTGAAATCTAAGTTACTCTACCAGAATAATCTTTAATTCCCCTCCCCCCCCCAAGTGTTAGCAATTAAACCATACAATATCTCTTCCTGGATAATACTATCCATACTATAGTAATTTATATCACAGAGATGTGACCAGGGATTTCAGTTGTTTTTGTTTTGTTTTTGTGGCAATGTGCAGAACAGGTTTGCTCAAAAAGTACTAAGGTAGTTTAGAAGAGAGAGCTTTGAGCAAAATGATCTCTACTCCAAATCTCATGTAGACCATGAATTTGTTAGGGAATCTTTGACAAGCTACTGGCACGCAAGTTCCCTCTGATATTGAACAATTACGATACCAGTCTTTCTTATTTAATGAAGCTGTGCAGATCATTTGGAGAGACATAGCTTATACCAAATTTATTTTTATTATTTTTATTCATTAAATTAATTTGCCACCTATCTTTTTTTTTGAAGCAACTCTGGGCAGTTTACATAATAAAAACATTAAAATAATCAGAAATAAATATCCCTAACCCAATAAAATGACAATATGCTCTTCATATTCTATATGAATATGAAAATACTACCTTGAAGTATAAAGGTGAGTATATCTCCTTGATAGCGGTCCCAGCAGAAGCATTTTCTGCATGTACACGCACGGACAGACAATCTTGAATAATCGGCACAAAAGTTTGGGGAGAAGGATGTGACTATCTTGATACTTAAAAGCTTTGGGGGAGATTCTTCTCCGAAGATTTTGCACAACTGTGTTATTTTAATGTCTTTTGCTTGTTTCATTAGCTTGTCTAATTTTGCGTGTCTGTTATTAAGAGATTCCATGCATTTTTAAAAATTGAGGTTGGGTTCCTATTGACTACTATAGATCATTAAGTTAAAGGTCCTGGGGAAAGAAATTTAGCTCTCTCTAAAGCAGAGGCGGGGAACTATGTCCCTTTTAAGACTTGCGGACTTCCAACTCCCAGAATGCCTGAGCCAGCTATAGTTCCTCACCTCTGCTCTAAAGTGATACTATTTGATTGCACATTAAAAGCTGTGATCTTGTGAAATGCTCCTGTGGCAAATTACATCTTGCGCATAAGACAAAACAAATTTTGACTGTGTATGTCTTGTTTAGATTATGGAAAGGATTATGGATTTACCTACATTATTGCGTCATGCATTCAGAGAAATGTTTTCTGTCGGTGGTCTCTTCTGGATGTTCCGCATCAGAATATTCCTCTGTTTCCTGGGGGCCTTGTTATATCTTGCGTCACCGTTGGACTTTCTTCCTGAAGCTTTGTTTGGAATATTAGGATTTTTAGATGACTTTTTTGTGGTTTTTCTGCTACTCATATATATATCTATCATGTACCGAGAATTCGTGACACAGAGACTGAACAGATGAAGACAGATGTCAGTAATTAACATTAAGGTACATTAAATGAATTAACTGTTTTGAGAAAAAATATCTAGACACAATTTTGGTTATTAAAAAACTTTCATTGGATCATCTTATGCAATCAAAAACACATCTTTATTTCTGACATACGCCAGCATAAGATAACAGATTATAAAAGTATATTATGCAAATGTGAGGAATTAATGTCACAGCGATTAGGGAACTGGAAATTTGATGTGCGATATTAAAAAGATGTAACCCATGCTTATATATGTTTACAGCAGATGAATGAGTGAATGCCATTTAAGCCACCAGCAATGATAAAAAGGGAAATTGTCTTGGAATATTTTATTTGAATTAGCTGGACATGTGCTTAAAACATTGTTTAATGTTTAATTTCATATTAAATGTAAAGTTTAAAAAATGCCTTTAGGTTGTGGGTAAACAGATAAAGATGATTTAATTTTAAGTACAATTGTTTGGAATGTCTGCCTATGCAGGAAATGCTCTAGCAGTGCAGTTATTAAATAAGCTTGTGTTATAACATAATATTGCACCATCAGAGTACATTACAGTGTTGTGACTATGTACAATTATGTGTTGTCTCAATATAATTTTTCCCCATGGAATTGCACTGTCCACTGTGGAGAGAACGCTGCCTTCTCCATAACAAATGATTGTATGTAGTAAGGTTTTGCATTACAATATTCAACATGTTTTTTGTAAAAGTAGAAGATAGCCTAGCCTATTATGGTACAGTATTAGGCAAAAGTTTCAGTTGTAACTGGCTTCTTTAATCAGGTGAAATACTAAATGGCATATTAAATAACAGCTGATAGAGCCATTAGCCGAAAGTACACTTGAATAACAACTGATAATGGGGACCATAGATATATGGTTATATCATATAACCACAGTTTATATGAAAAGTATATAGACATCCTTAAGAGTAAACCTCATTGAACATTGTAGGCCTTGCTTCTCAATAAGCACACATAATTTCAGTCTACAAGCCTTCTCAAGTTACATTTCAAAGTGGTCCTAAAACATTATGAAATGCCTTGTTTAAGCCATGCATTACTTCTTGAAGAAAGAGAAAACAACTAACAAGTCTGCAATGCTGGAGAGACTGTAGCCTTCCATATGATGTGAACTATAACTTCCAGCTTTCCTTGCTATTTGCAGTCCTGGTTTGGACTAATGGAATATCGTAACTATACTTTCTCCAGTCTGCTTATACTATTTCATTTCATATCCCAACTGGAAATACACTAATCTGTGAAGAACATGCCCTATCTCCTTAGATATATGCAGAACAGTATCTTTACTATAAAAAGAGAGAGAGAGAGAATAGGCATATAGGTGCTTGGATTATAAAGGGTGCTATACAACATTTAATCTCCCAAAATATAGAGTGCTGAGCTATATGTGGAATGTTCTTAACTTCGTAAGCATCCAAAAAATAATTATTTCGGTCTTGCTTTAGCAAATGCCTACAGAGAATGAAAACTTTGTTGTAAGATAATAAATATAACTTTAAAAAAAAAAGACTTGGAGAAGACCAGAGGATACCCATTATTGGTCTGAATTCACTATGGCAGTGTTGTCATGAAGACTTATATTAAACTTAAAATTATTATTAGCCAGATTTTTTATTTTTTTTATTTATATCCCACCTGTGTCTTTATAAACTACTCAAGGCAGTGTATATATCTAATACCTCTTCTTCCTATTTTTCCACAACACCCTTAATGTTTTTTTAAATTTTATTCCCATTTAAAACTGAATTTTGAATACTGCTTTAATGTTGAATATTGGCTAATTTTAAACATTTAAATTAACGCAATTCTAAATTATGATTAAAGGCAGGAGAGTATGATTAGTCAGAGAGGAGGCAACGTTTAAGTCTTATTTCCAATCATATAGCTACAGTTAGAGAAGGTTTGGAAACATGTGCATTAAGATTGACTTTTAAAAAATCCAAGGCTTTCAATTTGATGAAATTGTTGCCAAAGAAATCTCCCATTATTAACAAACTTAGTTGATACAATAATAATCATCTTCATATACTCTATATAAAGACTGGATTTGAAATGCCATTTTGTTTTTTGCTTTCATTTCTATGCAGGGGTTTCAAGTGCCAATATCAACAAATGAATATGTTGAGATGTACATGTTGAGTATATCTGAGTAGTAATTTTTGTAAAAATGGACATGTCTCTCTTGCTTTCTTCTCAGAATGCGGAATGTGACCACAATCTAAGTTTTCTTTAAAAATGTGGAACCATTTTCATTGTAATTTCTTTAAACGTGTTAAATTTCCAAAGTTATGTTTGGAGAACATCTTTGAATGCACCTGCTGCATACTAAAATGTAATACCGTGTTTCTCATATAATAAGGCCGGGTCTTATTTTTTTTTGAGCCCCGAAAAAATGGCTAGGCCGTCTTTTGGGGGGTGACTTAATTCCCCCCCCTTGCATCTTCGGGCGGGCGGGCGGCAATGGCTTGGATGTTGACCTCGGCGTTGGTGAGGCACTTAGTATCTGGGTCAACGCAGGCAGCACCATATCCGGGTGTGCAACAAAAGTACTTCCTAACAGCAAGCCCCACCACCATTCCCCCCCATTTCGCATATTTTAATATAGGCCTTAATTTGGGGGGAGGGGCTTAATTTCATTTCATGCCTATAAAACATGCTGAGACTTCCTATTGGGGGAGGCCGTATTGTTGGAGAAACAGGGTAGCAACTTGTTCTATCCATGTTTGAACTGAAAAAAAGGGAACATGATACAATAATTTAGAAAAAGAAGGTACTTTTATACTAAACCTTAGAATACTTTAATCAGTCCCTTATCCTCAGTAGCATCTTAACACAGTTTCTGGGCTTACTCAGGTAAAAGTCTAGCATAATGTGAATTTTGAATGAGGTAAATTTGGCAAGCACCAATCCTATGTTTCAGTGGCAGGAAAGATAGAGTCATAAGTTATAAAACATAGAATCTTGATCATGTATATATGTTTACAAAGAAGAATGATCTTCAATCTTATTTTAAAGGCTTTCATGTGACGTAAGTGCAGAGTCAAAGTAATTAGCTACTTGTTGCTTTCTGTTTTTAGTTTCATTTTTGGTGAAATTGAGGCATTTATTATGCTAAGCAAAATAGCTATAATTACAAATGCTTTAATAGCCTACCTTTTTTCTGTACTGATGTTTTTCTGGTATTCTGGTCAACAAATGTCTCTTTAGAGTTTTGGGATACCTCCCTGATGGGGCAGCAATCAGTACCACATAATACACTAAGTTCTAATATGGCTTATTTGATTTTAACTTAGTGTGCTGTGTTGGCCTCGCTCCAGATAATTCAGTAAATATTTGTTCAATAAAACATGGCATAACAATTTGTCCTCAAGCAATGTATGAAACCAGCGTGGGTGTTCTAATGATGCTCTAAGGAGTCAGTTCAGATGGTATCATGCTTTCCAATTGGTGACAGTTTAAAACTTTTTTTCTGGGAATTTTTCGAAGACATCTTTCATCTCATGCACACAGCTTAGGTTAGCCCTTCTCAACCTAGTTCCTTCCAGATTTTGGCAGGGGCTGGGGAAGACAGAAAAAGATTTCCTATTATCTTTTCTTAGCTTGTACCCACTTTCCAACATACACCCAGGTTGAATTTATAGAAAGAATGTTCCTGTTTACATTGACTTTTAATATATAGTTAACTAAACCAGTCTCCGATTGCTTTGTAAGAATTTGGACAGAAAGTATCACAATGCCTCTAATGTAGTTGTAATATAGAAATAATCACACCATTTTGAATTACCTCAGATGTGAACAGTTGCTTTTATCGTGCAAGGTGAAAAATAGCTAGATTTGCTTGTAATTCATCAAGAAAAATGTCCTCTGTCAAATCTGATACAGAGCATGAATGATCTAATCTCATTTTAAATGCTGCCTACATATTTAGATGAGTATCCTCATATATCTGTTGCACTAATTTCTAAAAGGAATTGAGATTCCTTATACAAAGGGGATTCAATCACCAGTTTACATGCAGTAATCAAATGTTACATTCAAATTTAATTTTACATTATGTAATTGATTTAGAATGTTTTTTTCTTTTAAAAAATATTATCCATTGAGACTTGGTTTTCAGGATGGATTGTACATTTATGGCTCTGAAATCCTAGTATTATTATTATTTTTGTTGTATGGCATTGTTACATTAGCCAGAAGACCATAAAGTTATTGCAGAGTAGTAGATTGGCTTGTGAATTTACCAGCTCTGTTATAGGACATGCCTGCATGTTTCCCAAGGTGCGCCATAGCAGGGCTTTGCACCAGAAAAACAAGCAGCTCTTTCTGCGGTGTCTTCCAAGGCCCCCCTCCCTTCTCGGAGCTGCCTCATGAACAGGCGCCACAACCAGGAAGGTTCAGAGCCAGTAGGAATCTAACTGCCTGAACAGAGCACCAACTTGTCACTCCACCAAAGTGGTACCCAGAGGTGGGCTGCTGCCAGTTCGCACTGGTTCTAATGAACCGGTATTTAAGGCGCAGTTTGGAGAACGGGCAAATCCCATCACTGGCTGACCCTGCCCCTGTCCGTTGTTCGGTCTGTTTTTTTTTTTTTTTACTGTTTTCAGGCTACTTTTCGAGCCATTTTCAGGCCGTTTTTCAGGCCAAAAACGGCCTCAAAAACAGGCCAAAAAACAGGCAGGGACGGGCAGCCAATGGTGGGATTAGCCTCAATGGCTGAATCTTACCTCTTCCTTTGAGGTGAGTAGCCGGGAGACAGGGCTGAGTGCGATGAGTGATGTTACCCACCCAGTCACATGACCAACTGACCATGCCTACCCAGCCAGAGAACCGGTTGTTAAAAAATTTGCAGCCCACCACTGGTGGTACCTATTTATCTATTTGCATAAAACATGTTTTCAAATTATTAGGCAGACAGAAGCTGAGTGACAGGAGCTAACCTTGCCACACAGTGCTAGGACTCGAACCGCTGGAGCAGAGACTATCTCCAGTATCATTAAGCCATCGAGCCACCGTGCCTCTTCTGAAATCCTAGTTTGTTAATCATACTAATACAAAACATTGGTTTAAACTATGCAGCCACCTTTTTAAGAAAATGTTTGCAAGATAAAATATTCAATACAAAATCTGTACGGATAGTTCTCGATTTATTACCACAGTTGAGCCCAAAATTTCTGTTGCTAAGCAAGATAGTTAAGT